TTTTCATCTTATAATAATTTTATTTTCCAAAACACTAATTTCCAGTGTTCAAATCAAAAGCGGAAAATAAGCGTTCCTGCTCTGTACACCCCTATTCAAAATTATACACATTTATTACGTAACGATTTTTCTGTAGATTAATTAACCACACTAATACTATCTATTCATTTCAATTTCGACAACATGGCAAGCAACACACCCAGTACTCCACAACGGCAAACCACATTTGAGTTTATCAAATCGATCGATAAGGGCTTACTTAGATATCTCTGATTTTTTTCGCCATGACTTCACGAATGTCAACTGTTTGAAATACCTGAAGCCGAAAGACCTGGACCTGTTTTCCACCAAAGTCAGCGCAGTTCATCGACGTATGATCGTCAACACTGTAGCAAAAGCTACAGACACCGACCTCACGCTTGGGTATTGAGAGTCCACATGACAACTAGACAATAGAGAAAGTTTCAACTAGGCGAACCGAAAGTGACGCTCTCCAGCCCCGCACATTGTTCGCAGACTTAGAAGACGGCAGTCATACGCGAGAAGACACTGATGATTTTTTTTGACACGTTCACGTACAGTTCACCAATCGAAAACTCGCTCCGTGAACGTGAAAAAGAAGTTGACGAGATGGAAACTGAACTCCAAGATTTGGAGTCCCAGCACAGAAGTCATACAAACAAATACTGCCAACAAATAGAAAAAATCCCTGGCAGAATCCAATGTGGAAATTGCCACGAGGAAGAAAAAAAGGACATCGCCAAACTAAATGGTAAAATATCAAAGTTATTAACAGAAATCAAAGGGAAGAAAACGGCGTTAGACGTAAAAAAAAAACGGGCATACGAGTCATCACAATCAACGTTTGGAGAAAAAATACATGCCGCCTTGATTCGTAGTAACCAGAAAAAATATCTTTTTCAAACAGCAAGTGGAAGTTTGGCCACACGAATCGCCGTACTGAATATCGACAAGGCAATTCTAAATAAACACTTCAAAGGGAAAGTGCCGACAAACGAGGAATCTGCGTTATTCCAAACAATTATTGACAATTTCAACAAAGAAAACAATCGGAAGAAAACGAAACCGGCACATGGCAATCCAGTGAAAAAGACGCTAGAAACGAACTCGGTATTTCCATGTGAAATTTCCCGCAAAAAACCCAAAAGAATCTAGCCGACCGAACACCGAGAATCAAAATATGCCCGAATGTACTACAAGCATCATACCTCCACCGATCGCACCCGTACCTCCACCGATCACACCTGTACCTTCATCGATCGCACCCGTACCTTCACCGATAGGACCCGTACCTTCACCGATAGGACCCGTACCTTCACCGATAGGACCCGTACCTCCACCAATCGCACCCGTACCTTCACCGATAGGACCAGTACCTCCACCAATCGCACCCGTACCTTCACCGAAAGAACCCGTTCCTCCACCAATAGCACCCGGACCCGCCACCGATAGCACCAGTGAACGATGGTTTGATGGCGCAGTCGTACGCGATTACACCGACTTTAAATAACGTGTACAACCTGTATTACCCCATGTTCTATCAGTACCCATACGCATATCCATGGGGAAGCATAATGCCACCGTCAACTACCGAACAGTCATTGCCAAACCTGTCCGTAAACACTGAATACATGTTTCCATATATAAAAACAACCAATGAAACACAAACTCGACATCATTAGTTTTTTGTATGTTTTTTTTTTACATTGATTTGCTCAACTGTGTGCATGCTTTTTCACTAATTAATCTAACCTTTTTTTATATACTTGATAGTAACATTTCTTTTGTTTTTTGTTTTTGTACAATCACGATTTTAAAAAATAACCCTCTTTTGAAATAAATGGCTATTGCAAACATTCATTAGTTGTGTTTACGTTACACGAAGTACGGGCTAAGATTTAAGCTGATTTAGGCTTATCTAGCATATTTGCATTTCGGCTCGACCCAATTGGGTCCACGCACAGGGAGGGCCAGTCGTTAGCACGGGCTAAGGGGCACCATCAGTCGGTGACCTTTGGCAAGCCGCTATTTATGAACGAAAAATGGATGACAAGCGCGAGGTTCTATTTCTGCTTCTGACATGTTTCGTT